GGCCTTAGAGCAGAGCCTTGAAGAAGCCGAGAAGGGACTCTCCAAGGGCCTGTGGGCAGAAGGATGGTGAGGCTAGCCAAAAGCTGGGGAGGGGCCTGCAAGACCCCAACTCACTCAATCCAGGCCTTACAGCCTCCAGAACTGAGACTGTGGTTACCGGAGGCTTCCCTCCCCGGACACTGCCTTGAAGGCCACCCACACCATTCCCAATGGCCCAGGCACCTAAATCGGTCTCCGTGGTAGTGACTGAGACCAGTGACAGCATTCCCATTCTGAGAATGCAGAAGCCACAGGGTTCTGGTGAGTTTCCCCGGGCGCAGTTTTAGCAGTGTGCCCTTTTACTGAGCGGGTCAGAGACGTGTTGTAACTCAGGCAGCACACCCGGGAGGGGTAGAACCCAGGTCTCCAGCTCCTGGGGCCAACGTGCCTTCCACTGTATACCCCCAGGGCCCCAGTTCATTGGAGGCTGAGCATACAGGGAGGGGGGATGCTGGCTACAGCCGCCTCCTTTAGGACCTCAGCTGTCCATCCTCCTCCCTCAAAGTGGACATTCCCTATGGAGCCCACCCCCACCCCCATAGAGGAACACTTCCCTTTTCTGAGCATCTCTGAAGGCCAAGGCTTTTGCTAGGACATTCCCCACATGCCAAACAGGCCCCTGGAATGCCAGCATGACCACAGGCTGCCCACAAGGTCTTGAGGCCAAAGGCAGAGTGCACTGAACTCACTCCCATGCTGCTTGGTCGGTGCCTTTGCCTCCCCCAGGCAATCCCCTCCAGGGATTTTTATCTTTCAGGGGAATTTTGTGTTACCTTCTCATCATTGTGGATCAAATGGGTTTACCTTGAGCCCCAGGCAGGCACTGCCCATAGCATCCCCTCCCACAAAGCTCACCTCTGGAGAGCAGGGAAATCAAGTTTCTCATTTTGAGGTCATCTAATAGGCTTGAAACCCAGGGTCTTGCTGGCTGTGTGCAAGGCAAGTTACTTAACCTCTCTGAGCCTGTTTCCCTTTTTGCAGAAGAGATACAGCTCCCCCATCTCTGGGTGATCTGAGAGTCCCTGGGGGCACAGAGCTCAGACACTGTGCCTGACCACCCTTAGAAACCACTCCATTCCCCAGGAAGCCCTATGCCTAGTTAGGGAGACCACAAGCCTCTGGTCAACTACCAAGGCTCAGAGTAGAGGGGTCTGAATAACTGTAGGCATTTACAGGAGACTGTGGGGAGCAGGCTGGGGGCTGGCAGTGGAACTGGAGTATGCTGAGACCCACCCACTGGAACAGGGGCTGGGTGACTCTGCAGCTCCCCAGGCCAGGAAAGGGGCTGAGATTGGGAGCCCCTGCCTCTCAGACAGGCGGGGGTGGAAGTGGGTCCAGGCCTTTCCAGGGGATGCTTTTGAAGGGGAGAAAGACTGGTGGGCCCGGATGGGTACAGGGGCAGCCTGGGTGCCTGCATTAGGCTTCCTGGGCTCAAATGCACATCCCTGGTCCTTGATTTTCCCATCTCTAAAAAGAGCATAATGATAGTACGTGCCCTGGGAGAGAAGTTGAGGGGACAGAAGGAGCCAACACACATGAACGGACCTTGGGGGGGGGGGGTTCCTGGGATGTGGCACTCAGTTTTCAAGCCAGCAAGGTCTTGGGCTAATGGGGACAAGTTGATGACTCCACCCATCAAGCACCTAGATGATAGTGCCTGGCACATGGTCAGTGTCCAAGAAAGGCCAGCTGGTCCTAGGGACACTGGCAGACCATGCTCCCTCCAGCCCCTGGGTTCCCCGTGAATCCCCAGGACGCTGCTCCTGTAGTCAGAGCGATGCTGGAATACAGAGCTTTAGGACCAATCTGCCAGGAGCACGAGCCTTGTGCCAATATGCTGAATAAATTACAAATCAGATAGCTCAGTGGTAGAGTGTGCGCTTAGCATGCGCGGGGTCCTGGGGTCCTGGGTTCAATCCCCAGTACCTCCATTAAAAAAATAAATAAATAAAATAAACTTAAAAATCAAAGGGAGTGATGGCGGAGGTGAGGGGAGCTGGGGCGTAGCAAGGGGACCTTGCATCTCCCCAAGGACAAGGGCAGTGAACGAAATGGACCCGGGAGTGCTGAGGAAGCCCAGCACAGTCCGGAGTCTGGGGCAGGAGCGGACGCTGCTAGGTGAGCTGGGGTCTGTATACGAAGAATCAAGGTTAATTTCAACAGATATGGAACTGATTATTTAAATTTTTTTCTGAATAGGCAATACGTTCACATAGTTCAAATATCCAAAAATGTAAAAAGGCCTTTGTCCCGCCACCTGACTACCTCCATGACTGCTGTTAGATGTGTTTGCCTTTCCTTGAACTTCAAGGACAAGCAATCATGCATCTGTCTTCCCGTTCTTCTCTCCGCTTAAGGCAGCATTTTCAGTCCTGCTCTGTTCCTTGATGCCTCTGAATGCAGTTTCTGCTTCAGTACTTGAGTGCCTACCTCTTTCTCTTTCCCAGCTGTGTGATATCCTGCCTCTTAAGTGTGCCGTCTGTTTAATTGGTGCCGTAGGGATGGGCATTTGGGTTGTTGCTGCTGATGCCCTCCTTTGGCCAGAATGCCCTCCCAGCAGTGAGGCCCTCAACCACAGACCCACATGTTTTTGTGCTTCTCTTTGTCTGGCTGTGGCCCAGGCACCGCATGAAAAAATAAGCCTGTCCAGTTTTGACTTGATTGCCTCTGGTAATGGGGAGTTCACTCTGTCCTCTGTCCAAAACCAGTGTGGGTGATATGTATTTGCCCCGCTCTAGCTTGTCTGGAGACTGGGGGTTGAAGGAGCCCTGGCCCACAGCAGCTGCCAGGAAACAGGGGTGTCCTGTGCACAGGGAAAGCTACCAAATGGCCAAATCTCATGACCTTCGATCCTTGGATATGGGAAGAGGGAAGCATCTCCAGTTTTTAAAAAATTACTGTAATTAATATTTATAATTATTATTGTTGGAAAGCCAATATAATTATTATTGGAAATTATAATTAATATTATAATTATAATATATAATTATACTACTGTTATAATTAATTATTGTTGAAAAGCCAACATAGGAAAAAAATCTCAGGTCAGTTTAACAGAAGAACATTTTCAAAAATCCTTCACTGCTCTGCACCCATGTTCCTTACTCTTGCCTTCTCCGAGTCTCAGTTACACTGGGCACCTCTGTGTCCAGGGCGGTCGCACAGCCCTGTCTGCAGGCTCCACCTCGGGGCCCTCTGGGGAAGGACAGGAACACAGACACTGTGTCCCTGGGTCCCACGGGAACCCAGGCGCCACCTGAGCTGCCTGGAACGAGGGCATGGCACTGGGAGAACGGGGGTGCCTGCCTTGGGCCAGGCCTGAGCGGCTCCCAGCTGGCCACCGGTGCCCTCCTGCCTGATCAGGGGAGGGAAATGAGGCCACCAGGAAGGGCTGCTTGGCTAGCTCTGGGCCCAGGTCCCCAAGTGAGCCACAAAGACTTAGCCTCCTCCCCAGCCCGGCAGCCTTGGAGAATTCCCCATGCCCCCACTACCAATGTGCAGGGACTTTGTGAAATGACATCCCAAGGTGCATCCCAGTGCAAAAGTCAAGGAGCAGAAGGTGGAGTCAGGTGGCCTTGACTAGGCTCCTGGCTCTGACACCTGCTTCCCACAGGACCTTTGACCAATTACTTCACCCTTCTGCCTCAGTTTCCTCCCCTGTCAAACGGGAATAAAAATACATGCAGAGTTTCTCCTAGAGAATACAGGTGTAGATATGGTAATGGCCCAGAGTTCTGTGAAAACAAAAACGAAAGTCTTTGCCCAACAGAAACACTTCCGATAAAATGACGTAATGCCTGGGTTTTGCCTCAAACTATTCCGGACAAGGTAGTTGATCCCTGGGGGTGCCTTCCCTGAGTCTCTCTACTTGGATAAATGTTTGGACATTCCCATAATAAAAAAGCTTGAGGGGGAGGGTATAGCTCAGTGGTAGAGCACATGCTTAGCGTGCACATGCACGACGAGGTCCTGGGTTCAATCCCCAGTACCTCTAAAAATAAATAAATAAGCAAATCTAATTACCCCCCTAAAAACAAATAAATAGATAATTTAAAAAAAACTTGAGACAAGCACACTAAAAATAAAAATAAAAAATAAAATACCCCAGTCACCCTCCCTGCAAAAAATAGAGGTGATGGGAGAGAGGTGGGACAAAATTTTTGTGCCAACAGGGTGACAGCAGGA